TCGAACTCAGGACCTTGGGCTTGCCAGGTAGGCGCTTGTGCTGCTGAGCTATATCCCCGGCCCACCCCTGTGGCTAGAGATGCCTCCCAGAAGAATCTAAACTCTGAGGTCCCCTCTTCCAAAACTAGATCCCTCACCCCCACAGCCCTCCTAGATCCCTGTACCCCAGCAGCCTTCTTTCAGCTATTCACACACGCTTCCCTGTCAGTCCCCGGCAAGACCAGGCTCAAGACAACAGAAGGGTCTCACCTCCAGCCTGCCTGACCCAGGAGGCCAATTTCTTCCTGTTGGGCCAGGATGTCCCCTGGCACAATACAAAGGAGTCCGTGTCAAGGTCAGCAAAAAGAGGTGCTTTTGGTCGGCAGAGCCCACACTGCCTTGGGCAGATAGGGAGATCCTGGGAACAGCACTGGATTAGGACCTTGAAGGGTAAGAAGGACCCGGTAGGAGGAAACAGGACAGAACAACTCTAATAGTTAGGAGGGCAGAGGTGCATTTGAGGGACAGCAGGGAGCAGTTTGGCCTGAAATAAAAGTGCGTGGAAGGGCGTGAGTAGGGATGAGGCTGCAGGGACGCCGGGAAGAGATGGAAGGTGGCCTTGAGTGCAAGTCAGTGGGGTTGGGGTGACTTCTGAAGGACCTGGGAAGTCGCTGATGGTTCTTGAGGGGGGAACCCCAACATACCAAGCAGGGAGGCAGAATTATAGGGCAGGGGTTGGGAAACTGAGAAAAGGTGCGAGTAGGAAGGAGAGGCTTTCTCTCTTCATCAGCTCGGAGGAGTTTACCAGATTATTTATCTAGGATTTGTACTGTCAGATTATCTAGCTGTTTCACTGCGGGCCAGGCATAGGTGTCAGTAGAGGAGAAGAAGCAGGCAGAACCTGGAACCCACAAGGGGCAGAATGGAGAGAGAGTTCTTTATTGGGCTTTTATCCTGCATAATTCTAGATTTGGGGGTGAAGGTGTTGGGTGGGGTTGGGGACTGTCTCCTGTGGGGCGACTGTAACTTGGTGGCTGTGTTTTCCCAGGCATCCTCTGCAGACAGCTCCAGGCCATACAGCTCTTGGCCTGAGGGACCTGACTTGCCTACTTATTTTTATTTATTTATTTTGAGACAGAGTCTTTTTTTTTTTTTTTTTGAGACAGAGTCTTGATATGTAGTTGAGGTTGGTCTTGAACTCACTATGTAGCCCATGTTAGCCTCAAACTTGTGGCGATCCTCCTTCCTCAGTCTCCTGAGTGCTGGGATTACAAGTATGTGGCACCATACCCAGAAACCTGCCCCCTTAAAGAATCGTCCTACACTTGAGAAGCTAGGTCTGAAAGTGCCTTGTAAACTCTAAAGTGCCAGCCAACACAGGGGCTGTAATGTTTTCTTTTGAGTAGACCCTACTCTGTAAAGACTATCTCTGGGAGAGTCTTAAAGATTTTAGCCATGCCAGAAGTGGTGCTGCACACCTATGAAATCCCAGTTACTTGGGAGGCTGAGGCAGGAAGGTTGCAAGTTCAAGGCTAGCCTGGGAAACTTAGTGAGATCTGATTTCAAAGTTAAAAAAATAAAAGGGCCTGGGAATGTAGCTCAGTGTGAAGCCCTAGGTTCAATCATCAGTACTGCCCAAAAAAAGAAACAGCTCTTCACAGCATATCCAGTAAGGAAAGCAGCTCTACCCTGCCCCAAGCCAGAAGCTGATGAGCTTTAACTAGGGCAGGACTGCTGGGACTTTCAGAAAACTTTATAGAAGAGAGGGTAGGGGCCTTTAAGCTACAGGGTTGGACCGTGCAGCAGCTCTCTGGGGGAGGGTGGGCACTAGGAGCAGGGTAAAGACCTCCAGGTGTCCTTAACAGGTTTGCTGCTTCCTGCCTCTGTCTTCTACTGTCTCTGGGTGAGGAAAGAGATGGGTAGCATTTTGCTTTCTATCCCTAGCAGACTTGGGTTTTGAGGTAGTTGGGGGCACTGATCTGGGAAATTAGATGCCTATAAATTCCTCGGGCCTAGCTCTGCGTTAATTCCAGGAAGGGGAGGGTATGACTGAGTTGTGTGCCAGTTCTGGGCACTCCACATCTGTCATGCCACTAACAACTTTGGGTAAGCTGTACCCTCTTTGGGCCTCCATTTCCCCAGCTGTTGAATGAGACAAACTATGTGAGCTCTGAATGATCTATGCTTATTTCTCCCTTCCAAGGCATCACCAGCACCTGGCTGCATATGGGAGCATTTCTTTCTTTCTTTTTTTTTCTCTTTTTGAGACAGGGTCTGGCTATGCAGTTCAGGCTGGCCTTGAGCTCACTATGTAGCCCAAACTGGTCTCAAACTTCCAACCATCCTCCTGCCTCAGCCTCCCAAGTTCTGGGATTACAGGCGTGCGTCACCACGCCTGGCTATTTCGTACATTCATACATTCACTGTATGTTTATTAACAGTCCCTGTGTGCAGGCTGCTGTGCTGAGGATGAGGGGCTTGTGCGGTCTTGGATCAGTGAGAAAAGGCACTGAATCCAAGGACTTCAAGATCTAGTAGGACAGAGGCTACTAAATACGGCACATAAGGCCCAGAGTAGCCTAGCACTCTCTCTCCAGCTCTCTAGTTGTAGCCTCAACCCCCACCAACCAACAAAACCTAGCTCGTGCCATTAAGTTAGCCTGGAGTGAATGAGTCTCTCTTCCGTGTCCCCTCCCACCCCACATTTTAAGGTTCAGGTCACATGCTACTCCCTTCATGAAGCCTTCTATGATTCTTTCAATCCAAAGCAAATTCTGCCCTTTCTAAACTCCCAGACATGTGTTGCGTCTCCTCGGGACATTTCTCTCTCTTGTATTCCGGTCATGGGTGCCCAGCTCTTATCTTTGGGAGGGCATGGAGGTTGTCAGTCCACTTCTGGGGGCTACTGTGTGGAGGTGGAATTAAAATAGCAGGGGACCCAGGCAGAGCGGGAAGACCATAGAACTCAACTGAAAGAGGAAATGGCTTCATGGGCAGGAACAGTGGCTGGGGTGTGGCTGGACAGTCAGATGGTATAAGCCAGACAGGAATCTGCTGGGCTGCCGCTCTCAGACCAGAAGGTCCGTCCCACAAGTCAGACTTGCCACCACCCAGGATCCCACAGCTCTGCCCACGGGCAAGAACTGGGAAGCAGAGGAGCCGACACCAGACAGGCCTGCTTTCCTTGAGCCTCTGCTTTCACTGTGGCTTCTTCCCTGTCCACACAGAGGTGAAGGCTGGCTGGGCAGGCAGCAAAGGAAGGCTGCATAGGGCAGGCGGGGAAGCGGTTACAAGAAGGTGTTATGTGAAGTGAATTTTGTCAATTAGTTCCCCTTAGCCTAGTGCTGACTCGAGGTCTGCACTATCTCCCCTAGTTGGTGAACAAAGCCACTTGCTGATGAAATCTCTAGAAGACTGGAGAATTTGGTATTCAGACCCAAGCCTTCCGAGGGCCAGAGAAGAAGCCCATGTGTGAGGCTTTAGGAGCAGCTCCCCAAGAGCAGGGAAGTCAGGGGCAGAGGAGAGGGCTCCGGGTGGGGAGACCAGGGTCTGTGCCGCCCCAAGCCAGGCTAGCAGCAATGGGAAGGGCCAATACCACAGCGATGCTAGGGGAGATGCTAGGGGTGGGGGACATGGCCCCTCACAGGGGCATCAGGTGCCACTGTCCACGGCTGACAGAGGAGAGGAGGTAACGAGTGGGGACCTGCACTATAGTGTCTGCTCTTAGAAGAGGTCATTAGTTGAGTCGTGCCTTTCCGTAGTTCCGACGGGGAGGTGGGTCCAGGCAACTCAGGTGTCTCGCCTTAGGTCACCCTGAGCGCTGAGGGCACAGTTGAGGGCCAGCCCCAAGCTTCCTACTCTTGCGATGCCCGGTGGCTGATCGGGCTCGCCTCCAGCCACCCCCAAGGGGCAAGTGTCGTAGCCTCCAAGCTCCGCGCCCCGCCCCGCCCTGCCCCGCCCCGCCCTGGGGATCCTTTAAGAGGCGGGGCTTGGCCGCGCGCCCGGCCGCTGGGGCCGGAGGCTGGGACTTCACCGCCGCGGCAGCAGAGAACCAGCCCGAGCTCCATCAGTTGCCGCACCGCTGTGGCTGGAGCCGGAGCCGGAGCCGGGGCGGGAGCTACCATGAGCGGCAGAGTCGGCGACCTGAGTCCCAAGCAGCAGGAGGCACTGGCCAAGGTGAGCTCTCATCCTGGCCCGGGCTGGGGCGGTCGCTCTCCCGTGGAAGCAGCTGCTGCGGAGCGAGCGATGTTCCCCGCGGGAGGGCGAAGAGCGAGCAGACTTTGCTGCTGCACCTCCCTCCCTCTGCCCGCCTACCGGACCCCGGAAAGTTTGGGCACCCGGCCTCAGCCCCAAGCAGCCCTGGCGGTGCCACCTGGGAAGAAGTGGTTGCTTGGAAGCCCTCGGAGGCAGCTGAGGGCACAAAGGCAACATTCATCCCCGCGCTAGCAGGGACTGGCAGCCAGGCCGGGACAGGGGCAGGGACCCAGGTTTCCTCCCATTTCCGGGAGGTTTTCCTCTTGCGGGGGCAGCGGTTGATGGAGAGGGCCCTGGATAGCTCCTTAGGGTACGGGCAGCCTTTGCTGGGCAGCAAGTCTCTGTGCGACCTTGGGCAAAGCCCTGTCCTCCTTCCCTGTCTGCTCTTTGGGGAAAACACAGGGGAAGGCTGGGGCGACCGGTGTTGCGGGGAGCATCTCTGTGTGTGAGCCTAAGATCCCTCCCCCGACTCACACTAGTTTGAGCAGAGACCTGTCTTACTCTCTTGCAACTCAGACCTCTGCCTGTCAGGGGACTTAGGTTGATGTTTCTTGGAGGGCCAGGAGGTGACAGGCAACAGTTTCAGGGCTGGAGCCCTGCCCCACCGACTAGATCACCTCTTCTCCATTGCCCTTGGGGAGCGGGGAGGTCTGCTGTTCTCTGGGCCAGTGTAGATTGGGTCCAGCCCAGAGGTTTGGAGTCTCCACAGCTGGGCCATTTTCCACTCCTGGGAAAGGGGGACAGATGTCTCCTGCCCTGGTAGCAGTATGTGTAGGGGGCCCTGGCCCCATGAAGTTTCTCCCACCCCACCCAGCACCTTAGGAGGGCTGGATAGGAGGCTTCAGGTTTTCCTGCTGACCTGCAGGGGCAGTCAGGCAGAGGAGGGATTAAGTGGTAGTTAAACTGGAAATCGGGGCTGGGTAGGGTCCATGGTGAGGAGTAGCTTCTTGCCTATGATTTGGATTGCAGTTTCCCTGGTGTACTCCTAGCTGTTTTGGGGAGTGGGAGGGTCTGAGTACCCAGCTGACCCACGCTAGGGTCAGAGGTGGCTAATCCTCGTCGGTCCCTTCTGGAGTTGTCCTGTAGGTCTTTGGCCAGGGAAAGGTGAGTGGCTAGGGTAGGAGGCTCAAGGAGGGCACTTAGGGGCCTGCTCATCTAGAAGGCAGTGAGAGACAGGAGGAGGGTGTGGCTGTCCCCTGGGGTCACTGTTTGCTCCCTTGTTTGGCTCTACCTGAACTTTCACCTTTCATGACTTCCTGCTGGAACTGTGCCCCCCACTTGGATTGGCTGCCCCCTCCCTCTCTCACTTTTTTTTTTTTTTTTGGTCTTTTTGAGACAGGATCTTGCTGTACAGTTTAGGCTGGCCTTGAGCTCGCTTTGTAGCCCAGGCTGGTCTTGAACTCGCAACCATCCTCCTGCCTTAGCCTCCCAAGCGCTGGGATTACAGGCCTGCGCCACCACACCCGGCTCCTCTCTCACTTTTGAAGCCCTTCAAGCCCAGCTCAAATGCCACAATACTATTTTTTCATGTAGAGTCCTGAAAACACCCTCTGCCTTGCTCCCTAGCACACTTCTCATATTCCCGTGCCCAGAGGGCAGAAGACCACAGTGGAAAGAGTATGTGCTCTAGACTCAGATAGACCTGAATTTGTATCGCAGCCCTGCTTGCTACTGGCTGTTTGACCTTGGATAAGTTACTTAGCCTCTCTGAGCTTTCATTCCTTCGTCTGTAAAATGGGGATGGTGATACCTCTAGGGGCTCTGGGTGAGGCGTGAAGGATACGGAGGGAGCCAAGATCAGTGCTGCGCATGTGGGGAATGCTTGGTATAGCGACAGCTCTTGCAGTGGCATGTACCAGAGGGCCTGCTATCACGCTAGCTGAGAACTCATCCACTTGCCTCCAGACTGGGGTGCAGAGGCCTTGAAGTGAGGCAGGGGCAGTGTTGTGTTCCCTTCCTGTCCTCTCCCCTGCTACCAGGCACCCCTTGGCAAGACAGAGTGGCCCAGGCAGCACAAGTGCCCAGCCAGCATCTGCAGCACTGAACTGTGTAAGAGGGATTCAGCAGAGGCCCTCACGGAGAGTCCTGGGCAGAGGGCGGTCACGGTGGGACTGACCACTCACCCAGTTGCCTCTCCCTACAGTTTCGGGAGAATGTGCAGGACGTGTTGCCTACTCTGCCGAATCCAGATGACTATTTTCTCCTGCGCTGGCTCCGAGGTGAGGGAAGAGGGGGCCGTCTGTGGGAGGCCGGGGCAGAGGCTGGCTCTGGATACCAGAATGGTGTCCTCTGGAATCTGAGAATTTGGGGAGATCAGCCTTTAGGGTCAAAAAAGCACTTGGCAATTACAAAACTCCATCCTCCCATTGGATAGGTAGAGACACTGAGGCTCAGAGGGGTGAAGTGACTTGCTTCAAGTCACCCTCTGCAGGCAGAGGAATAGAACCCGGGTGTGTTGACTGTCAGCCCCAGGCCCTTTCCATCTACTACATAAACTGGCTTGGCTGGTGGCCGGGCAGGGTGGGGAGGGATAGACTAAGGAAAAGTGACCGTGTGGGAAATTGGGGGCAGTGCTGAGGTTAGAGGCAGAGTCCTGGGTCCTGGGGAGGCTGGCCCGCTCTGTGCCCTGATGGGTGACAGGCCTTCGCTGCTGCCGGGAGCCCAGGGAGTTTGAAGGAGGACAGTGTGCATCGTGAACATGGGGGGCTCAGACTCTTCACACGCTGCTGGGTTGCAGGGCCCGAGTTCTAGCTCAAGTTCTGCCCTGGCCTGGCACATGGGCCAAGGTCACATGTCTTCCCTGAGCAACTCCCCTGCAGAGCAAGCAGAGAACTGACGCCCTGCCTATGGCAAGCTGTGACAGGACTGTGCCCTGCATGTGGCGATGGCACATGTATGTTGCTACTAGCGTCATCAGGATCAAACTCAGCCCCATCTCCGACTCCTAAAGCCTTTCTCTTCATTTCTCCCTTCTCTTTTCCCGTGAGTCAAGGCACTTTTTTTTTTAAATTAAATTTTGGTGGTGGTAGTGGTGGTTCTGGTGATTGAAACCAGGGCTTCATGCATGCAAGGCAAGTGTTCCACCACTAAGCTAAATTCCCATCCCTTTTTTATTCATCTTGAGACACGGTCTTACTAATTTACTCAGGTTGCCCTTGAACTTGAGACTCTTCTGCCTCAGCCTCCTGAGTGGCTGGGATTACAGATATGTGCCACTGTACCCAGCTTTTTTTTTTTTTTGTATAGAAATTTTATTAACAGACATAGAAATAATGAAATGCTACTGTGTTAGATTAATAGAGCTCAAATTGTGATGTAGAATCATATCCCAAAATATTAAAGCAGTATTTATTTGTAGACACACAAATCTAGATGCCCTAGGAATCCTGGGACAAGCGAAAAACATAGTTTCCTGTTCCAGAAATTTGATAGAGCTGGCAGCTCTTGAGGGCTGACTACAAATACCTGAGAGCAGGTGAATCCAGAAGAGCGAAGTGGGGCCTCATGCACCTCTGAAAGTGTCACTTACCTATTTCCCCGAAAAAGCTGCAATCCCCACCCCCCAACTCCTCCCACCCCAACTCCACCCAGAGGGCGGAGGGGCAGCGTGGGTGTGGCAGAGGATTCAGTCAGGGTAGAGGGAATTTGGGCCCAGCACTTGTCTAAGGCTGGAGCTGGAAGCAGGTGGGTGGAGAGAGTGGGAAGACAGTGGCCTCCTTAAAGGGCCAGCTAGAAGCTGATCAAACCAGCTATGCTGCTAGGAGATGTGTGGTTGCAGAGAACCGTTGACCAGCTATGTAGTGCTCTTTTATCTAAGAAGAGCCAGGTGTGGGGTCCTGGCCGCTATTCTCCCAGACACCTAACCCTCCCTACCTCCCAAGTCCTAGGATAACCCTTCTTTGCAGGGCTTATAAGGCTTGATATATGTTCACGAAGCACACATATCATAGGACTAGCAAAAGAGCATGGACATCCTTACTTGCCAGATGAGAAAAATGGGGCTCAGAGAAGGGGAGGGACTTACCTGAAGGCACACAGCCAGTGCCAAGCAGAATCGAGGCAGAAACTGAGGGCTCCGGGCTCCTGGCCATCCTTTCCCGTACACCATCGCATCCTCTCCAGTAAGCCATAGCTGCTCCTCAAGTCAGATTCTGCTTCTTGAAACAGAGGAAGCATCTCCTTTGTATTTCATTTGTGCCTCACATTTCCTGGGCAGGAGCTCAGGCCTGGTCAGACCCTATTATGAATTTTAATCAGGGTTTTTGTTGCCTTGAAAAAACAAAACAACAACGTTTTTCTCTTTTTCCCTTTGAATCTCAAGGAGACACTTGCAAGCTGCAAAGCAGCAGAATGTCTTTCTCTAACCCAGGTGTGAGCTTTAAGTTCAGTTTTCTGCTGGCCTCCAGATATCTAAAGCAGGTACACAGGTCCTCCCTGCCTTTCCGTGCTGGGGGCTGAGCTGTGTGCATAGCAAGATATTAAAAAAGTGGAAAAAATCCTGGGAGAAAGGCAGAGCAAGTCTGAGTCTCAGCATTTTACAGCACTAAAGTGTGGGCAAAAGGGAATGCAGGGTGGCTACTGGAAGGCAGGGTTCTCTTGGAGGGCCTCAAGCCAGGCTTTGAGTTGTCCCCAAGCAGGGAAGCTGGAGGGAGCCCAGAGAGGCCTAACTTAGCCGGAATTCGGAGGGCTGGGTGAGGTGCTGCCTGGAGCAGTGGCAGCTCAGGGAGAGCCCTTGCATAAGCCCCTGGAGTTGGACCCTTACAGATAAGGGTTGACTGGAGAGTTGCTCCCAGATAAGAGTGCTCACAGTTTATCACTACTCCACCCTGCTTCCCTAGGAAGATAAGAGGAGCGGGTATCCTTTCTATGGCAGATTCCCATTTTCTGGCCCATCTCCTCCATATGAGAGGATTTTTTTTTTTTTTTTTTTTTTTTGAGACAGGGTCTCCCTATGCAGCTCAGGCTGACCTTGAACTCATTGTGTAGCCCAGGCTGACCTCCTCCTGCCTCAGCCTCCTGATCATTACAGGTGTGTACTACCACACCCAGCTGAGAAGATGTTTTGCATCTTACTTTTCAGGCTTATTAGATAGTTTGGCCAGAGGTGTTCAGCATTTTGCCCAAGGTCAGACAGAAAAGTAGAAGAGCTGGGATGCAAACGCATACTATATTCTCCTAATGTTTCCCCAGGCCGCCAGGGTGGTGCGGGAAGGGTGGTGGTCGGGAGGAATGTTCTGGGGACCAGTTCTCAAGGGTGGCTGCTGAATTCTGCCAGCATGTGTCCAGTATCCTTCGTGGCCACGGCACTGGTCAACTTTCTTGGTGTGCAGCCTCCGGGCCTCAGAGACAGGAGTGAATTTCACAACGGTAAAGTCAGGGAATGCGCTCAGCTGCTCCTGGGGAGTGATGATGCAGGAACCAGTGATAGTTCAGGGAGCAGCCTTTCTGGCCCAGGTTCTAGGGCTGTCAGCAGATCGAGATGCCAGTCAAGTCCATGGATCATGTCTAGCTAGGAGGGACCATTCAAAGGTCAGATGGCCCAAATGATTGTAATCCAGTGCTCAAAACTACTGATCTCAAAACAGTAGTATGGAGATGAAACCTGATAGGGATGGATTAAAGGTCCCACCCCTCCCTGTATGGAACGGAGGCTTAGTGGCAGCACAGGTGCAAAGGATTTGGGGTTTCAGTTGACTCTAAACTCCACCTGAGGATGTTACCATTGCCCAGAGCATTCTTAGGCTTTATTGGAAAAGGAAAACACTGGGAGTGTGCTTGGCTCTGATAGCTTGCTCCAAGAGAGGCTGCGGCAAGCTGGAAAACATCCAAAGAGAGGTTATTTGGATGAAGCTGAGCAGGAGGAATGGTTAAAAGTTCCAAGGATATCCAGCATGGTAGTAGGGAAGATCTGAGGTGACAGCCTAGAATTTGCCGGTGCTGCAAGGGTAGTCATGTGCCTATGGAAGCAGCCCTGTTCTCCGAGTGTCCCTAAAGTGAAGCTCAGCTTAGTAAGAGAAGTAAGTGTAGATGGCAGCTGTAATTGTCTGGGAACAAGTGGCCCTGGGAAACTGTGAGGTCATTGTGTTCAGATTTGAGCAGAATAACTTGGGGTTCAAGCATACAATAAAGCAAACTTTTAATTCTGCTTTCCAGGAATGCTTTATGTTCCTTTGAGGTATGTGTTGGTCCTTTTAAGGGCATGGAGGGACTGACTGGAGGCTTATCCACGCCTCTCCCTCGCTGGGATGTGCTGCCAGCTCCACCCTAGGTTACAGGGCAGCTGTGTTCACCTTTGAACTGTGGGTCAGTTTCTCAGCGTTGGATATTAGACTGTGGAGGAGATAAAGTTTTCTGTGTAAGGGCGAAGGCCAAATGATAAAGGTCCAGGGTTCAGTTTCCCTGAGAAGCACTCTCTACCTGATTGGATCCATAGGGTAAAGCTCTCCTGAGTCTGAGGTTGCACTACTGCCCCTGGAAATTCCCTGAAGTTGACCTCCTCTCTCAACAAGCCCAGGGGTTATGGTGTTCTAGAAGCCCTTAGAGGAGAGCCTTATGTTAGCTACCACATGTAGCTAACATGGTATGACCCGTGTACCTAGCAAGGGATGACCTGAGAGTCAGCTGGGGAGATGCCCAAGAGGACTTGGCCTCAGCAAGGGAAAAGGTTAATTCCTACATCCTTGCATGCTCAGGTCACCAGCCTAACCCTTACCACATTTTCTTGTTACAGCAAGAAGTTTTGACCTGCAGAAGTCAGAGGCCATGTTACGGAAGGTGAGAGTTGTTTGGCTTTTCGCCTCAGTTTCCCCCCATCAGAGGCACACCTTGCTTGGATTCTTTTGCCCCCCCTCACTCACCCTGATGGCAGCCTTTGGCTTGTGTGACATATCTTGAGTATTAGCTGACCACTATTGCCTGATCCTTGCGGGACAAAGTGCAATCCCTTCCTGGGAAATGCAGAGCTTTCATAGTTCTGGACCAGCTAAGAATGATAATCTGCTGCGCTGAGACTTCTAAAACAGGCAGGACTGGGGCTGGGGATTTAGCTCAGTGGCAAAGCGCCTGCCTGGCAAGCGCAAGGTCGTGAGTTTGGTTCCCGGTGCCGGAGAAAAAACAAAAACAAAAACAAAAAAAAAAAAATAAATAAATAAAACAGGCAGGACTTTCTTTTCCACTCTTACCTGCTACCTTCTAGTGAGCAATTGTGGTCGAGTGGTGGTTTATGCTGTCATTTATTGCTAAATGCTTAGTAAGGATTCCTCCCCATCTCCTACTTTTAAAAATCTCTTTGTGGCTGGGCATAGTGGCACACACCCATAATCCCTGCACTTCAGAGGCTGAGGCAGGAGGATTGCCATGAGTTTGAGGCCAGCCTGGGCTACATAGTGAGTTCAAGGCCAGCCTGAACTACAAAGCAAGACACTCTCTCCAAAAAATAAATAAAAATAAAACAAATCTCTCTGTGTTTGCAGCATGTGGAATTCCGAAAGCAAAAGGACATTGATAATATCATTAGCTGGCAGCCTCCAGAGGTGAGGACAAATGATCCTGCCCACCCCTGTGCTGATACTATTAGATCCGTGGCCAGTGTCATGGACCTGTTGGACGACCTTCAGAGAACAAGTCTGACCATGTCATGGGAGCTCTGATGGCTACCAGAATGGGTATCTGTTGGCACCCAGAGATGGGATGTGGAGGGATAGACTGATGAACCCAGAGTAATGTGCTGCAATCCAGGGAAGGCACAGATGTGCCAGGCCTGCCCACCAGGTACTTCCTCTCCATTGTGCCCAGGTGATCCAGCAGTACTTGTCAGGGGGCATGTGCGGCTATGACCTGGAGGGCTGCCCGGTCTGGTACGATATCATTGGGCCTCTAGATGCCAAGGGTCTGCTGTTCTCAGCCACCAAGCAGGACCTGCTCAGGACCAAGATGCGGGACTGTGAGCTGCTTCTGCAGGAGTGTTCCCGCCAGACCACAAAGGTGGGTAGATTGCTATGGTTAGGGATGAGCTGATTGTGGTGGAGATATTCGAGCAGAAGCAGAGATGTCGCAAAGGGATAGAAGCATAATCTCTGGGCTAAGGCCCAGACTTAGATTTTGTAGACCTATGAAATTGCAGTTTTAGAGTCTGATCTGATATTGCCCGTTTTTTCTTTTGTGGTGCTGGGGATTGAAACAGGGCCGTAAGCACACTAAACAAGAGCTTTACCACTGAGCTATGTTCCCTGCTTGCCAAACTTTTATTTTGCTAAACCAGGACTTAGAATGTCCATCTATTATTGCCATAATTAATACCCCAAACTATAAGAGTGGCATAATCTCAGAATAAAAGGCAGTCCTTGAAAGTTGAATAGCTTCATAGAAAACTATATTATTATTTTTTAAATCATTTATTTGGGACTACTGAACCTCTGTTATGGACCAACCCATCCTTGGGCAAATATTAGGGTACCACTGATAGATAAGCTCATGTTCTGTGATTCTGTAACTTTGTATTCAAGAGAGATTAGGAGGGGCTCGGGATATAGCTCAGTGGCATAAGCGCCTGCCTGGCAAGTGCAAGTTCCTGAGTTCCATCCCTGGTACTGCAAAAAAAAAAAAAAAAAAAAAAGAGATTAGGACAGCGATTCCCTCACAAGAAAGAGACATACCTGCAAACCTGGCCTTCTTGCATACCTCTCAGCAGGTGTAAAGATTCAGAGAAACAGGCCAGGCAAGGTGGGACATGCCTGCAATCCCAACACTCAGGAGGCTGAGGCAGGACGATCGTCATGAGTTCAAGGCCAGCTTGGACTACATAGCAAGTCCTTGTCTCAAAAACAAACAAACAAAACAATGTAATAAAATTTGGGGATTTTTCAACAGTGTCATCCTTAAATGACCATAGAGAGGCTACTGTGTGCGGAGACTCCAAGAGACCAGGAATGCAGGGGACACTTGACCTATTCATACCCTTAAGGCCCTGGATTGGACAGAGCATCTATCCCTGAGAGAGAAGTAGCTCAGGCCCAAATGCTGCTCACAGAGCACAAAGTGATTCAGAGGAAGAGGAAGGCCGCCCTGCAGGACAGAGGGGACCTCAGATGTAATCTAGATCCACCCAGTCATTTAGAGGAGAAGAAGGTGGGAATCTCAGCAGGAGGAGCCACAGTTCTAGCTGAGGGTGATTATCACTGGGAAACCCTGGACCTGGACTCTAGGTATGGGGCAATCAATACTGGCCTGAAATAGGCTGGGCTTCTGTAGTGGGACTCACTAATGTGACTTCCTGCTGTCTGTTCCCTACAGTTGGGGAAGAAAATAGAGACCATCACGATGATTTATGACTGTGAGGGCCTTGGCCTCAAGCATCTCTGGAAGCCTGCAATAGAAGCCTATGGAGAGGTGAGGGGCGGGGAGAGAGGGCCTCTTGACCAGGCTGCCCTGAGGGATGGTGCAGTGATGGGGACAAATTCTAGCCTGGAGGAAGCAAGGCCTCTTCCCCTGGCACAGAGGCCTCGGCCTGCTGGACCAGAGTGGTTTTGTTTCCACAGTTTCTCTGCATGTTTGAGGAAAATTATCCCGAAACAATGAAGCGTCTTTTTGTTGTTAAAGGTAAGTTGGGAATTCTCTGTAATCAGGCCAAAATGGGACAGAGGAACCAAAAATATTACTTGGGCCAGACTGTGGAGAGTAAAATAAGTGAGCCAAAGGAGGGGGTTAATTAAGAACATATTCCGAAGACTGACACTGACGCTTTATAGGCACAGTGTTTAGTGTATATTGCCTCCTTTGAGTCACCTAGCCAAAGGACATAGGAAGAGATCATTCGGCCTGACCCACAGCCAGACCATAAACAGGTATTGTGGCCAGGCCTGGTGGCACACACTGGGAATCCCAGAACTCTGGGAGGCTGAGGCAGATGGATCCCATGTTTGAGCCAACCCTGGGCAATTTAGCAACTTAGTGAGATCCTGTCTCAAAATAAAAAATGGGCTGGGGGTGTAGCTCAGTGAGAAGGCTCTGGGTTTAATTCTTAGTACTAAAAAACAAAAACAGCTCCCCAACCAGAAAACAAAAACAAAATCAAAACAACCTAGATACCATAGTGAACCTCACACCCTGAACTGCTGATGTGCGCTCCACTGCACCAAGGGACATGTGACTCAACATAGGGCGGGGGCGCTGCGGAGGGGTGGGTTGTGGCCTGTTAGGGCCTAGCTGACCAGTGCTTCTGGCTCACATGGCCTGGCCTCTGTTCCAGCACCCAAGCTGTTTCCTGTGGCCTATAACCTCATCAAACCCTTCCTGAGTGAGGACACTCGTAAGAAGATCATGGTTCTGGGAGGTGAGTGGCTTAGTCTCCTCAACTAGTTTGGGCTTTAGAGGCGTGACCATGGCTGCCAGGGCAAAGGCTCCCCCTGCTGGTTTGGTAGCAAGGGGATCCAGGATCAAGGAGCAAAGCTGGGGCCTTCCTATCTGTCTTCGTAAGAACTCTTTCTGTCAGACACTAGAAGCGAGCACTAGGCTGTCCATTGTAGATTCCAAGGTGAATGCAATTCCAGTCCTTGTTCTTAAAGAGCTTTTTATGGGAGAGAGATGGCCCCAAGAGAAAAAGCTAGAAGACACTAGAAAGGGCATCGAGAAGGCGCCATAGAAGTCACAGGAGCAGAGTTGCTTCTAGGTGGGGGCAATTAGGCCTGGCTTTATGTGACCAGCACCTTCCCTCTGCCAGGCCTTTGGCTAGATGCCGGGATACAGAATGAATAAGACAGAGTCTCTTAAAGAGCTCTCAGGAAAGGGAGGCACAGATATTTACCAGTATGATATGCTTAATGGAAGAAAGGGACCCATAAATTCCTGGGGGTCCTGAGCTGGGAGGAGGCAATGCCTACCTAAACTCTATGATATGGGATGAGCAAGAGTGAGTCACATGGAACAAGGTAGGGAGCCGGTCGGCAGAAGGAGGATCACTGAGCAAAGACCTTCCCCGGTTGGCACGGGCATTTGTCATGGAATGCAAGGCAGGGTGCAGCAAGAGACCCTGCAGACAGAGGCAGGCGCAAGGTTGCAGAGAATCCAGGGCACCATGTTGAGAAGCTGTGACATGACTCCACATGCTCCGGGAACCAGAGATGAACTCTTGGCAGAGGAGGTCTGCAATCAGATTTTCAAACTGAGATATTCCACAGGCAAGATCATAAAGGACAGATACCACTTGGCATACTACTGTCACGCCTTAGATTTATGACATACTTAGGAAGTAAAAAACAGAACTCAATTGACGGAATGGAGATAAGGGAGAAAGAGAAGTAAATCTAGAATGGCTCCTTGGTGTCTGGCATGAGTGACTGAGACGATGAGGTTGCATTAGTTCCATGCGGGAAAACTGCTGAATGCAGCTTGAGGTTGAAGAGTTGAAGGCCTACAGATGCTGGGGATACATGAGCCTGAAGCTTAGGAGAGGACTCCAGCCTGAGGGTTTGGGGGTTACCCATTATTTAGCAGCAGCTAAAACCTTGAGAGCAGAGAAGATTTCCCAGGGAAGAGCAGAGGCCGACTCTCAGGGGAAATATCCAAATTCCAGAGAAAGAGAAGCCCACCAGGGACACCGAGAAGCAGTGATGAATGGGGCTGGCAGAGAAGCAGTTCCACAGGGAGTAGACAGGTACAGAAGTAGGAGGGCAAAGTGTGACCCAAAACCCACAGGGAGGATGAACAGCAATCAAGCCAACCAGGGACAGGCAGTTCTGTTTTGCTGGAGCAGGAAGTGGAATGGTGGGAGAAAGGTACAAAGGCTAGTGGAAGGCTTGATGCTACTTGTGGAGTCAAAACCAGGGGTTGGTAATAGGGATTCTGAAGGTTTCTGAATGTTCACTTTGGGTAACACATTGAAAGTGGTGATTTTACAAAGTGTGCTAGCAAGATGGAAGTGTTACCGAGGAAGTGCATGACTTCTGGGTTTTAGTCCTATGTCTGGCAGAGACAGGTTCTGCTCCTATCTATCTATTTATCTATATCTATCTATCTATCTATCTATCTATCTTTTTTATTTATTTATTTATTTTTTTGGTTTTTCTCTGGTACCGGGAACCGAACTCACGACCTTGCGCTTGCGAGGCAGGCGCTTTTGCCGCTGAGCTAAATCCCCAGCCCTATCTATCTTTTTTGAGACAGGGTCCTTCTGTGTAGTCTGGGCTGGCCTTGAATTTGGTATGTAGCTGAGGTTGCCTTTGAATTCACAATCCTCCTGCCTCAGGCTCCAGACTGCTGGGGTGATAGGTGTACACCACCATGCCTGGTTCAGATTCTGCTTCTTACTGCCTCAGTTATCCTCTCTGTGACATGGGAAAGATCTTCCTGACCTGATCCCAGCTCTCCAGATGAGCTAGGGGAAGAAAGGAAAAAAAATGAGAGCAAAAAAGGCTTTTATGATTCTTGGTTTTTCTGCTGCTACCACCCACCATGTACATGAGATGGCTTGGTTTCCTGGCAGCCAAGCTATGTGGGAGGTTCAGTCTGTTCTTCTACCCACACCTAACACTCTTTCAACCAAGGAGGGATGACATTCAGTCTGATCTGGTCACCAGAGCTTAGCAGTGCAGAAGTAAACTACCCTCAAACCACAGACATTGTGTTCTCAGGAGTTGCATGGTTTTGCCTAAAAATCTGAAGGCGGGCAGATTCTGGACAGTGTCTGTAGGTTTCCAGCCAGCACTGCATGAAGGTACTGGGCATGGCTTGGAGCTGCTGCCTGTCGTGAAAGGTTTCCTGTACCAAAATATTGTACTTGGCTGGTATTTACCAATTTAGATTAGCGAGGAAGGGCTTTTTGGCATTGAATGCATTAGAGTCAAACTCCTCTGGTCAGGAGGGCTTGGTTACAAAAAGCAGCTAGAACACTTAAGACAACAGGAGCAGAAATGAAATTGGGGATGGGGTAAAGCCAAAGGAACCCACTTAAGGGGTCACTCTATGGTGATATATTCATTGAGAAAGTCGCTACCAAGGACAGTTAGGTACAGGGGAAAGGTCAGAGTTTGGTCTGATCAGGACAGACCCTCCGGAGTCAGGCCTTCTTGCCTGCCATACATGCCGTTCCCTCTGCATGGAACACCCTTCCCTGCTTTGTCTCCCTCTTGCTTGTACTTTAATATCCATATCACCTTCCTGGGGGTGATAATAGAGTGAGTATAGTATACCTACAGTTTACAAAGCCTTCTCAATTATACTAAGTTCATTTCACTCCCACTGTAACCCTGCAGGGCAGGAAGAACTGGCTCAATATGAAGTGATTTCCTAAGGTTATTCAGCTGGCCAGAGGCAAGGAAAGCAACCCCAATCTCCTGACTCCTGGTCCAGGGAGGGCCATCCTCTGGGTGTTGCTCTCCCTGCAGGACTATGTATGTGTTACATGCTCCTAATGTCCTTTTTTAAGGGAGGGGACAGGGATAGATTTTTTCCTTCAGTGTAGACCACCAGGGCCATGGTGAAATCTTGCCTAATCATGACACATTTTTGTCTTTCCCAGCAAACTGGAAGGAGGTTTTACTGAAATATATCAACCCTGACCAGCTGCCTGTGGAGTATGGAGGCACCATGACTGACCCTGATGGAAACCCCAAGTGCAAATCCAGGGTATGGGCTCCCAGAGGCGGGAGGTGAGCAGGGCAGCCTGGTCCCAGTGCACAGTCCAGCTCATCCCACGCTCTGCCTCTAGATCAACTATGGGGGTGACATCCCCAAGAAGTATTACGTGCGAGACCAGGTGAAACAGCAGTATGAACACAGTGTGCAGATTGCCCGTGGCTCCTCCCACCAAGTAGAGTATGAGATTCTCTTCCCCGGATGTGTCCTCAGGTAGGACCAGGTCCTTTCCTGAGACCTGAGCCTTTCATTCACCGGTACCAGTGTTTGAGCAGGAGTGAAAGAGGCCTTGGAGTCAGAGAGATGTACGTATACAGATGGAATTATGTCTAAATGGATTGATGTCACCTGCAGGTGGCAGTTCATGTCAGAGGGAGCAGATGTTGGTTTTGGGATTTTCCTGAAGACCAAGATGGGGGAGCGGCAGCGGGCAGGGGAGATGACAGAGGTGCTGCCCAACCAGAGGTACAATTCCCATCTGGTCCCTGAGGATGGGACCCTTACCTGCAGCGATCCTGGCATCTGTAAGTATCTTTGTCTTGGCAATACTTGAGGTCCCTGTCCAGCATTCTGCCTGCAAGGTCCCTTTTCCTCCACAGATTCAGGCTCTTGATATTAGAGCTGGAAGTGGAACTCCATCAGTTCAACCCTCTCTTGGCATAGAAAAGTAAGCTTGGAGAAGTGCGGTGACTTGCATAAGGTGACTCAGGTGGTTAACGGTAGGGTGGGACTAACAGTAGGTTAATGTACGTGTGAGTCACCAGTAGAAGGTGAACACAGGGGTTTTGCTCTGTTTTTGGGTACCGGTCTCACTAGGTCTGTGACTGGGGCCAGGTGTTTCTTTGGGATCCTCCTTCCTCTCAGGCCAGAGGTAGACTTGGCTGCCTGGGTGTAGGGATCACAGGGTGTGAGCAATGTGCTGAAAAAGGACCAGCCTGTGCTTGCTTCGGCAGCACATATACTAAAGAAGGACCAGCCTTGGGCTTAGTGGTAGAGGGCTTGCCTAGTATGCATGCAGCCCTGGGTTCAATCCCCAGCACCACACACACACACACACACACACACACAAACAAAAAACCAGTAAACCAGCCTTGACCTCTCTGAGCGTCACTTATCTCCAGGTTGAGCAAAGAACGGACACAGAATGTAAACAGGCAGTTTACACATGAAGAAATAAGAATGGCAAATACACATTTTAAAAGTGTTTTACCTCGCTTGACTTTATGATATCGATTAAAGTGCCCTTTGACTCAGCAGTTCTACTTCTGGAAATGTATCCTATGGAAATATTTACACAAATACAGAAAGACAGAGGGACAAGGATGTTTCCGGCAGTATGAAAAGCTGGCAGTAAACCAAATGGCCATCAGGTCTTATTAAAGATAGTCCACATATACAATGGCATACTACATTGTCATTAAAGAGAATAAATTGATATGTAAGATGTCAGATACATATTGAACAAATAAACATGAAACATGGTATATGGAATATACTCAACATTGTTTTTTGTTTTTGTTTTTATTTTTATTTGTCTTTTTGAGACAGGATCTCGCTATGCAGTTCAGGCTGGCCTTGAGCTCACTTTGTAGCCCAGGCCTATCTGGAATTTGCAGCGATCCTCCTGCCTCAGCCTTCCACGTGCTGGGATTATAGGTGTGTGTCACCACACCCAGCCCCTCAGGTCTTTTTAAATTTTTAGACAGGGTCTCACTAAATTGCTAAATTGCCCAGGCTGGGCTGGAACTTGAGCTCCTTCTGCCTCAGCCTCCTAGAACGTCTGTGCTAACTCTGAACAGTAATTATCTCTGGGTTGGTAGAATGTTTATAGAGGGCTTTTCATTTCTCACATATCATTTGCACTGACCATTTATTACATTTACAAACAGAAAAAGCATGCACACACATGCACACAAGCCAATCAGATTTGCAGTTTCCTTTCTGATAGCCAAGGGGCTGGATGTGGAAAACCAAGAATAGCTGGGCCTTTTTTGATCAGACTGGAGTTGGACTTGACTATTGACTAGTTGCTTGGCTTTAAGCAAGTGACTTGACTTTGAATTTCAGTTTCCTGATTGCTACAATGGGGATCTTACAGGGATACCCGATAATTACATGGGATAAGGTCCCTAAGGCACTTCCTTGGTATAATGCCTGGCATAGAGCCAGCACTCAATACTTACTGGCTACCATTATTATTAGAATAGGTGGGGGGAGGGGCACGGGCCATCGTGGACATGATGCTGCAAGATGGGAGAAGCCTTATACCCCGTGTCTAAGGCAGCACTGGCAGATCTGAGCCAGCCCCGCAAATGTCTCAGCCTCTATGCTTGTCCACACCATCACCCAATCTGAAATTCAGCCTCCTCCCTCACAGCACAGCAACTTTCAGTCTCTCCCGCCCCCTCCCCCAGATGCTCAGTGGCACAATATGGCTCCCCTGGGAGGGTGAGTATTCTCCTTAGTGAGGAGCCAGGGCCCTGGGGAGAAGTATGCTGTATGCTTCAGCAAGAACAGGGCTTAGTACTAGCTCAGACACTGTCACCCACTTTGTATACTGTACAAAGTCTGAATTTTTTTTATTTTTAAATTTTATTTATCTATTTATCTATTTATTTATTTTTGTCTTTTTGAGGCAGGGTCTCACTATACAGTTCAGGGTGGACTTGAGCTCACTCTGTAGCCCAGGCTGGTCTCAAACTTGTGATGATTCTCCTGCCTCAGCCTCCTGAGTGCTGGGATGACAGATGTGTGTGCCACCACGCTCAGCTGAACTTCTTATTTAAAGAACAGGGAGAGGGCCGGGGATATAGCTCAGTGGCACAAGTGCCTGCCTGGCAAGTGCAAGGTCCTGAGCTCGACTCCCCATACAAAAAAGAAAAAAAGAACAGGGAAGCTGAAGTATAGAGAAAAGGTGTTCTCTTTCCTGCAAAGTAACTTGTATGGACAACACAAGACACTAGAGACTCCTAGAGTCCCAGTCTGGAAACTTTTGCCCATAGACTGTCCTAGAAATGATCAGGACATCTGTCCTTGCTGTGACAAAGGAGGGTGGAATCCCAGGCTGGGAAGTAATTTTTCCAAGGTCATGGAATCAATAGGAGATTCCCAACCCATTTTTATAGCTTCACCCCGTCCCTCTCTTTCGTCCTTACTATCTGTGGAATGACAGCCTGAGAAGGGACCAGGAACCTTTGAACGTGCTTAGGCTTAGGTTTGAAAATCCCAAAATTATTTTAGATCCTTTTGAGTATCTTCCTGGCAAGAACTTTTTTACCCATTTGTGACCTGCTTGCTGCTCATTCATAGGAGGAGCAGAATCAGGCCCCAGCATCCACTGCTTCCCTGAAAGTGCACCTGTGGGAAGGCAATGCCCTCAGAGACCCAGGAGACTCCTCATGCGATAAAACACAGTCTCCCAGCAGGTAGATTTAACCTCTGGTGCACCAGCCCCAGTGGCAGGAGCCCTGTAACCTCCTTCTGGCTCCCGGTCCTTGTCCAAGTGTACTAAATTACTAAGGAGAGGACCAAAGTTTAAAACTGATTTCGCCTCTCTCCTCTAATGTCTAAGGAGGGCTTCCCAAGATGAGATACTTGACTATGAATGGAAAGATTCCGAGAAAAGAGCTAGGGTTTGTCCAGGAGGGCACAGTGTGATTCTGAAGACTCGAAACAACTGCAGAGAGGGGACACAATGCTGCTAGACAGTGCTGGGGTGGGAAAAGCCCAGCAGGCACAAGGAGGGCTGCTTCCTAAGGAAGTCCAGCCTTGTCACCAATTCTGAGTATTTGGAACAGGTGTCTTTTAAGAATTAGATGTTACTTTCCTTCTTAAAATAGAGTAATGGACTAGAGAAGATCTTAATCTGGGGCCCATGGACTCTTCAGAGCAGTGGTTCTAAATCCTAAAGACCAAATACTCCCCCTTTATAACTAATAGAGTCTCATGGCCCTTTACTATTTTGAAATGGAATTCATAGATAATATAACCCGCTACATGCATAACTTAAATATCCATGTAATGTATCAGTAATATGAAGGAGAAATAAAAGAAAGCTCATCTGGGAATATATATTTCTCTCAGTAATGGGGAATGAACACAGGGCCTTTGCCATGAAGTATATCCTCAGCACTTTTTAAAAATTTTGAGCTGGGTGTAGTGGCACACACCTTGTAATCCCAGCACTCAAGAGGCTGTGGCAGGAGGATTGCCGTAAGTTCGAGGCCAGCCTAGGCTACGTAATGAGTCCAAAGACTCACTAAAAAAAGGAATTTTTTTTTTGAGACAGGTTCTCATTAAGTAATTAAGTTGCCCAGGCTGGGCTTTAACTTGTGATCATCCTGCCTTAGCCTCCCAGTGTGTTGGGATAATAGATATGTGCCACCACACATGGCTCTAGAATATTTACTTTTCCATTAAGTAAATGAGAGGACAAGCTTTTACCTACTGTTCCACCTGCCTTCAGAACAGTATTTTTCCAAATGGGAATCACTGCCCCAGAGGGACTCTGACATTCTCCAGAGGGTCTGGAATTGTATGTCTTGTCAGATTCTTAAGGTGGAGGGCAGTTATCTAATAAAAGTTGAGGAGCTCTAACCTAACCTGGAAGATCTGAGGGCTCCATGAGCCTTAGTTCCAAATGAACTATGCAAACTGGGCATAACGGTGCATGCCTGTAACCCCAGCACTTGAGGGGCTGAGGCAGAAGGATTACCACAAGTTTGAGGCCAGTCTGGGTGACATAATGAGTTCAAGGTCAGCCTGAGCTACATGATGAGACTCCGTCTCTAAACCAAAACAAGAACCATGCAGACTCTAGTTTGTTTGTTTTTTTTTTAAATCTTTTTGAGACAGCGTGTCACTATGCAGTTCAGGCTGGCCTTGAGGTCACTTTGAAGCCCAGGCTGGTCTCCAACTTGCAAAGATCCTCCTGCCTCAGCCTCCCGAGTTCTGGGATTACAGGCGTGCACCAACACGCCCAGCTCATGCAGACTCTAGAATTGCAGTGATTCCATTTTCCTGGGGCCTGTGCTACAGATTAACCCCTTCCTTGTTTCTGAGGGCAGAATATCTCATTAGGCAAAGCTACCTCAATCCTGGTACTTGTTCTCTTTAGAGTGAGTACTGGTCCTCTAGCGTGGCTGCCTCTGGTTGCCAAGGCACTGTTGTCCAGGCAAATAGAGAAAGCTTCACTCTTTCCAGAAATACTGGTCCCTTAGGTCCTCTGGAATAGGGAAAATAGATGACTGATTCTAACGGGTGGTGTATTTACCACTGGTCTGCGCTGTGATTTTATCCAGGGTTAGGAAAGGGGAGAGGTAGTTTCAGGTGGGTTTTGTTTTGTGTTCGTTCTTGCTGGGAAATGTAGAGAAGGCCAGCACAGGGAAAGGGCAGTGCTAGCATTTTTGTCTTCATGCTTAGTTCTTTTGAAGGGGTGTTTTACTGAAATGGAACGGCTTCTCAGAGAAACAGGGTTAGATGAAAAGCAAGTCTGTTCCACTGCCAAGGCTTGGAAGCTCTTTCTGCCAACTGCATGCCCATTTCTTATTTCCTCCTCTTGGAGCAAACGACTGCTAACAGGTCTTGTCTATTATCCTACCAAATATTTTCCATCCCTTTGGAAGGGTCACATTTCCCTAATAAACAGGGCATGTACACACACAGATACATTCAGAGGAATTGTGTCTGTCATTCAGTTTATGCTGGAAGGAAGTCTAAAACTGTCAAACTCATCACAGAATTTGAGAAAAACTTTCCTTGCAAGGCACTGTCATAATCAAAGAGAACCTGTAAGTGGAAACAGACAAGTAGCAAGCCAAAAATACATATTTTTTCACATATATAGTAACAAAAATGTTACAAACTGTTCTGCAACTTGCTTTTCTGGATTTAGGAGCTATTATTACCCCCCTCCCAGTTGTTATATGCAGCTACACTTTAAAAAAAAAATTTTTTTTCCAGTACCGGGAATCGAACTCACGACCTTGTGTTTGCCAGGCAGGCGCTGTGCCGCTGAACTGAATCCCCATCCCCTAAAAAGAATTTATTTTTTATTTATTTAATTTTTTGCAGTACTGGGGATCAAATCAGGGTCTTCACATTGAACTACATCCCCAGCTTTTTTTAAAAAAAATATTACTTCGAGATAGGGTCTCACTAACTTAGCTAAATTGCTCAGGCTAGGCTCAAACTTGCAATCCTTTTGACTCAGCTTTTCAGAGTGCTAGGATTATTGGTGCGCATCAACATGCCTGGTTTTTCTTTTTAAATCAGCAGTGTTCTATATAAGGATTACAGCATAAATTGTTTAAGCAACTTTCCTTTGATAAACATTGAGTTTTCCTGGCCTTTTACTATTAGAACCGGTCTGCAGTGACCACTGTTGTCCACTTATCTTTATTGGAATAAATTCCTCGTTCACAAAGTTTGCACATTTTACCTTTTCCCAGCAACTGAACAAGGCTGGGCTTCCCAGGGCCCAAGTCAGTCAAGACAAAGGCAGGAATGCAGAACAGAGGGAAATTCTAGCTTCATCGTCTTCTCACTGAGTGACATAAGAGACTTTCTTTTTATCAGATATAAAGCAAAACTAATGCTGAACTCACAGAGTTGTGGGCAAGAATGAGATTATATATACAGATTACCAAGCCAGTGCTGCAACACATTAAATAGCTATTATTGTTATTACTATTATTAGAACTACTGCTGCTGCTGCTGCTGTAATTCTACTCCCTGCCTTTCACAGCCCAGTTCAAGCTCTACCTTGTGTGAAAAGCCACAATTTTGGTCTAATGGGCCCTATTTTTCCAAACTGTTAAAGATATTATTGTCTCTGTCAGTTATCTGGCACTTCACATATTCTGTCTCATATGCTTTTCACATGAACGTCTTGTCATTGCAGCTAGATTAAGTTTTAGAAGGCCAAGAACTAGACACGGTTTCAGAAGGTAGCTTATACTACCTTCATGCCCTTACTTCCACGCTGCCTTGCCCGGTTGATAAAAACTGCTATGCCTGAGTGCTCTGTCAGAAACACCTCAATGTCTGGTCTTCTGCCTCTCCTTAGATGTCCTGCGGTTTGACAACACCTACAGTTTCATTCATGCCAAGAAGGTCAGTTTTACTGTGGAGGTCCTGCTTCCAGACAAAGCCTCAGAAGAGAAGATGAATCAGCTGGGGTCAGAAACCTCAAAATAATGCCTCCTCCTCCGGCAGACCTGGCCCCTTCAACGTCGGTTTCCTTGTAGCAGTCATTTTTCCACAACCTTGCAGCCCAAAGAACCTGGGCTGGAAGACTTCTGGCTGGATCTGGGAGCTTTTGCATCAGAATTAGGAAGAGGACAACTCCTTGCTTCTAAAATTACCAGGGAGTCCTCAAGGGCTGGTCACTGTGATAGGATCTATCTGTCCTGAAAACCTTGTCAAATTTACCTTTCCAGTGTCAGCCAAGACAGGGAGGTTGGGGGTGCCACTGGGCAGCAGCAGGGAAGAAATTAGAAAAAGAGGGAGAGATTGGGACCTAACACTTCAGGGAAGCCAGCTGCAGAGGAGAAATGTGCTTCCAGATGAACATGGAAGTTCAGATCATAATAAGGGAAAGCAAGGTAGCTGGTTGGTAAGAGTTATGGTGGGGACTGGAAGCTCTTCCAAACTTTTTTTTTATCATTGAGGCTGCGGTGTCTTTTGGCTTTTACCAAGTCAGCACAGATCTTCCCACTGGAAGGTAGCCAGGCATGCCTCTCTCTCTCTCTCACCTTGAGAACTTCAGCGACTCCTGCGCTGCCTCTTTAATTACTAATGATTGTCAGTGAGTCAGGGGTTCTGGGGACTTTGGTACCCAGCCACTGTTCTCTAGTACAAAAAACAAAAACAAACAACAGCAACAAAGCACAAGGCTAGTTATCTCTGGGGACCACGGTTCACGGAAGGGCCTAGGAAGTAGGAGGCTGGGGATGGAAATGAGTCCTCAATGGGGTGCCTCTCACCCGCTTTTCAGGGCCCCTAGCCTCTCACTGAGTAACCCTCCGCGTGAGCAACCTAGATGAAAGTGACGAAGGGGCTCAAGGCAGCAGCACTCTGAGCATTTCCTAGTCTGAGACTCCAGCGGAGCCCACCGACCGGCTTCCTGACTGTCCTGAGCAAGGCCTTAGCCGTCCCATCTTTGTGGGAGGCGTACACACAGGCGCCCCACTCGGCTCGCGCCTGTGAATGTCGGTAGCCAGGCCGAGCTGCCGACCGCGCAGGCGGCCAGAGATCGGGCCGGCATCTCGAAGAGCCAGGGGCCGGGGCCGGCCGGAGCCCCTAACTCCGGGGAGCTCGGGAAGCAGCTCCGAGCCCTGGCCAGGCCTGGGGAGCTCGTCAGGCGAAGCGGAGGGAGCTAGCGAGGGCCACAGGCGGCCCCAGTCAGATCGCTCGGGAGGACCTCCTGGCCTTGGTTTACAATGCTCTGTTAGCAAAATTAACCACCGAATAAAGCAACGTCCAGTGCACACGGCGTGGAATTCAATGCCCGTTACCCCTTTATGTGCTTCTCAAACTTCAGCTTCCCAGAAGGCCTCTGGTAGTTTACTGCCAATGAGACGCATGCGTAGCTCTCAGCTGCTCTCTTCTCGCGTGAGTTTTTCCTGAGAGGACAAATTACCAACTTGCCTTCCGGTTGGGACGGTCGGTAGGGTGTCGTCCGCCATCTTTGCTCAGGGCGAGAGGCGTGCTCCTGACCGCCTTCACAGGGAGGGCGGAAGCCCCGCCCCACTCGGCTTGTCAAAAATCCTCCTGGTAGTTCGAGAGCAACAGCACGTGTGTCACGGCGAGCTCTACCCGCGGCGGCGGTGGTGGGCCCAAAGTAGGAGAAAGGCGGAGGAGCAGCGATCACGTGGTGTTAGGGACCGTCTTCTAATTTCGCACCACCACTGCCGGTTTTCAGGGGCTGGGGACTGTTCTCTTCGCTCCCTACCCCACCGAGCCAGTCCCCGCTAGATAACCGCTGACCCACAGACAGCCCACGACTTACAGGGACGCAGGCGCCTACGGCTGAAAACAGTGGCTTCAATAAGGAGTTGGTATTTATTTTCCCAGTCTTTATTTGATGATAATAAAAACTAATTCTTAAAGAATTTCTACTAAGTACCACGCGAAATTCATGCTCACCTTCTTTGTTGCAAAAATTGAAAGAAACTATAAGTGCAAAGCGCTTACTAGAGAGCCTGGTACAAGCCAGCGCTCAGTAAATATTGATTATTCTCTAGGATTTTATAGACCTAGAAACTGGGGCTTGGGGAGGCTAATATCTAATCGGCGGTGTAACTAGGATTCGAACCTAGGACTGCCCGTCTCCAGTGACCGCGCTGGTGTCTCACTTGCCCCAGAGGAGTCACCGAATAGCAGTGCAGTGCTGTCATTGCTGGACCCCCCGTTGCAGTCACTAACCCCAGCACCGCTGTGGTTTGCTCATTTCTCTGGAGTCTTTTCACCTGTCCCTCATTCATTCATTCACTCAGTGTCCTGCTCCCAAGAAGCTCGGTCTGGGGTCACACCGATTCAGTTAGATTCGAGTGCTTGAGAGACAAACGTGTCACCCGTTGAGAAGGGACTCCAGAGTCCGGACACCCACCTCTCTAGGGCACTTACCATTATAATCCTCCACCCTCATTTGCTGAGTTCGCCTTAAGAGCAATGATCTAAAGTCACATAGTCTAGATTCAAATCCCAGTGTAGATGAGAGAACTGGCCAGCAGAGCCCTCCAGAGAGGAGCTGAGCACACAAATGTTGTGACCCACCTCTGTGCCTCTGTTTCCTTTTCTGTAAAATGGGGGTCCCACGCTGATGGAAGCCTTTAAGGAAATAAGCCTTTTAGAGTCCATATCAAGCTCAGTAAATGCTGACCGTTACAATTAATCTTCGCTACCATCCCAGGGAGTGGACAGTAGTGGCCCCCTTGTCCCCATTTTACACATGACCAAAGTGAGGTTCAGAGAAGTAGATTTGGCCCGAGGTCACTTAGCCATGAAGTGTTGCAACCTCCAATTAGAATACTGGTCTCTTTGGCTCCCAAAATTACAGTCAGTCCAGGGAGTGGTTTGTGTCAACTACTCAGAGAAAAACGAGACAACTGGTAAAAAAAACCCGAGCCTGCTGGGAGAGGGGCCTTGGTGCGCGGAGCAATTTGCAGACGCTCCCTTCCGGCGGAGATTGCCCCCGCCGTCCTTCAGACCTAACCCTGCGGCAGGTCCAGCCCCGGCGGACCTTAGTGCTAGTGAAGGTGAAGGCGGTAGCAGAAGCAGTGCCAGCTGCAGTGGCCCGGGCCGCGGCGGGAGCGTCATGTCAGAGCTGCGGCCGCGTGGCACCGAGCGCGACCTCTACCGGGACACGTGGGTGCGATACCTGGGTGAGTGCGGGGTGACTGGTGTGGCGACCCATGGCTGGGGTGCGGGGCTGGGGAGGAGGGATGGTGGGTTCCAGGGTGGCCAGATGGCTGTCCTGGAGGAGGTGAGGGCCTGGAGAAGGTGAGGGAGGGTCTTGGTTCTCATTCTTCCTGGGCCAGAGGCTGGCCGGGCTAAGAGAAGGCTAGGGACTTGGCCAAGGTCACACAACTTTCATAGGTTCAGCTCTGCCCCGAGGTCTCTGCAGGCCAGTTCTCCAAGGATAGATTCACATCCACTCACTGGTGCTATGTGTGGCTCAGTCTCCTCCTCTACAAACAGGGCAGAACAGGATGGCCTTCCTCACTGGGTGGTGGTAGTAAGGTGGGGTGAGATAAGGCACGGAAGGGCCTGGCACATGGGGAGTGTCTGGTCCGTGGGGAAGCCCCTGATCAGTCCCTGGTGCCTGTCACCTGAGTTCAGCTGCCCAGAACCAAGGCTAGGAAATACAACCAGGGAACCATGATAATGGTGACTGTATGCTCAGCACCCCCACGTTGACCCTGGAGCCGCCGTGGGGGTCATATGGACGTAGTTCACAGCCAGGAAATGCAGGCTCATAAAGGTAAAGTCACTTGGCTGAGATCATGCAGATGCAGTTTAGCAGTCTAGGGTTAGAACCAGTTTTCTCTCCAGTGCCCTGGCTTGTGGAAGAACCATGGACCTGAGAATTAAATGTCCCCTCTCTCCAGGCTATGCCAACGAGGTGGGGGAAGCTTTCCGCTCCCTGGTCCCAGCGGCTGTGGTGTGGCTGAGCTACGGCGTGTCCAGCTCCTATGTGCTGGCTGATGCCATTGACAAAGGCAAGAAGGCAGGAGAGGTGAGTGTTAGTTTCTCTTCCCCACCCCCACCCCCACCCCCGTGCGCCTTGGGTGTAGCTCAGTCTGCAGCTTTATATGTGCCAAAGTCCCTATGGGACAGTCACTTCCCCACAACCTCGCCTAAGGGACTCCATACTCCAGTTTGTGGGATAGTGCCCCTCCATGCCCCCACCCCTTCCTGGAGGTGGCATTCTGTACATCCCCCAGCCTTGAATGGTACAGTCCAGAACCCAAAACTAGGCAGTTCCTTCTACCCTAACGTCCCCTCCGCACTGGGCACTTCCCCCTCCGGGGTCCAGTTTCATTATCTTGTCCACAGGATTTTCTGCCTCTTCCTCCTCTGGATTGAGTGTCTGTACCCACCAGGTGCCAAGCACCGAAGCCAGCCGCAGCACCAGGATGACCATAGCCGTGGTGGATACCTTCGTGTGGCAGGCTCTGGCCTCTGTGGCCATTCCAGGCTTCACTATCAACCGTATATGTGCCACTTCTCTCTATGTCCTGGGCACTGCCACCCGCTGGCCCCTGGCTGTCCGCAAGTGGACCACCACTGCACTTGGGCTTCTGGCCATTCCCATCATCATCCACCCCATTGACAGGTGGGTACCCTCTTAGCCTCAGGGGTCACCCACTCTGCAGGTAGTTAGGCTCTGCAAGGTTTGCGGCACAGGATTTTCTCTTGCTATGGTTTGAGGGTGTTCCCCAACTTCCGTGTGTGGGATCTTAACTCCTCAATGCCGCAGGGTTGGGAGGTGGGAGGTGGGGCCTAGTGGGAGGTGTCTGGCTCATGGAGGCAGAGCCCTTGTGAGTGAATGAATGAATGAACGCCTTTCTCATGAGAATGGAGCCCTCTTTTCTGGCCTCTGCACACCCCCCAACTCTACTTGCTGTCATGAGCTAAAGAGGCATGAGGACCTTGTCTGAAGCTGTGAAGATGCTGGGTAGTAGAGACAGCAGAGGCATGCTGGCACTTGGGCTTCCTGAGATAGAAAGGATAGTCTGTGACCTTGTCATATGATCTGGCAGGTACTCTGACAATAGAGGAGGAGGGGTGCCTTGAGGGTATGGGACACAGGACAAGTAAATTTCCGGAAAGTCTAGTGTTACAAAACCAGAAGCGAGCAAGAGCAGTTGCATCCTAGTGTGGTGGGCCTGGGGGAGGTATTGCTGACAGAGGCCCAACTCAAGCTGAACAGTGGGGTGAAAGGAATAAAGGCTAGGGTGGGGTTACTTTCAGGCACTCGGCACTTAAATGATGTCACTGGGATTCTGGGTCTCCCCATCCTGCTCCCCTTCTGTCCACCCTAACCCACTCCTTGCTTCACTCATTTTCACCCTGAGGGAGTAGAGAAGGCCCTCAGCAGCTCCCAGCTTCCATCCCACCAGTTTACCAAGTCCTATCAAGAGCCTTTTATTTTATTTTAATTTTTTTTTTTCCGGTACCGGAAATCGAACTCACGACCTTGCACTTGCCAGGCAGGCGCTGTGCCACTGAGCTCAATCCCCAGCCCCCTCAAGAGCCTTTTAATAGTGATAGCAAGAATCCCAAGAAGGGCCCAGTAGATCCCAATTCTGAGCCATTTTTCTTGTTCTGATTGACCAGGCTTGAGGCATGTGTCTGCTTTTAGAACTGGAGATGGGTGTTGACAGAACTAGACCAATATAGAGTGGTAGGTGGGGGCTTTCCCTGGGGAAACATAACTTCTTCTGAGGCCTGGAACAAATCCTTTACCCTCTTTTTGCCTCAGTTTCTTCTTCAGCATAAAGAAAGGGAAGATAGCCATTATTCTGGGGATTTGAAGGTAGCTTTCCCAAGCAGCCCAAAGTGGGAGGAGCATAAGGTAGCTCTCCACCTGATGTCATTTGTGCCCTGTGGCCCAAGAGTCCCTCCCCAGCCTGGTCTCCTGCCTTCTAATCCCTCATTAGTACCCCTAGGCTACCTGCTTACCACTGGTACCCTCTCCTCAGGTCAGTGGACTTCCTCCTGGACTCCAGCCTGCGCAAGCTCTACCCATCAGTGGGGAAGCCCAGCTCCTCCTGACCCAACCTGGTGTGTGGTCCCTTCTGCTTGGAGTGTGGATGCCTGGCTTTCTGGAGTCCCTGGCCCTGGCACCTGAGTGGATTCAAGCTGAACAGAAGCTTCGAGACAAAGGTCTCAAGGAGCAGTAGCTGTAGCAGGACCTGACCCCATCAACTTTTGTGGAATCTATTGTACTGAGTAGAGTAGACCTGGGTGGGTCTGACTCTGTCTTTTGATGACAAAGTTAATCCTCCCATGGAGGATAAGCAGACTGGGGCCCAGAGAGGGCAAGGAATATGCCCAAGATCACTTGGCAAGCTGAGTGCCAGGATGCCCGGTTGCTCAGATGAGTCACTTCATGGCAGCGTGGCTGGATGACAGCAGACACTCAGGGAGAAACATAGGAATGCAGCCGCCAGAAACCTCAGGACAGAGTCCCCAGCCATCCCATCCGTGGTGCAGGGGCTGCTGGGGCCTGGCTGAAAGGCAGGACAGTCCTGAGCCAGGTGCTGGCCAGGCCAATAAATCATTAAGAAGTTGAGTCCTTCTTTTCTGTGGGGAGGAACAGGATGGGGTAGTAGGAGCAGAGCTTCGCTTGGAGGAGGTAATCTGTGGGAGAAGTGGGCTGTTGTCAGGAGAGGGCTTTCCCAAGCCTGCAAGAACAGGGAGGGAAAAGCAAGAGAGAGTGTCCCAAGGAGGGACCAGTGTACGAGCAGGTCCAGTCAAGAGAAACACCAAATCCAAGGAACCAAAATGGACAGAAGGGCTGAAGTGAAGGTTTGAGTGTTGAGGTGAGAAGGGTGTCATGGAAAGGGCAGTAGGGTGTCACCCAGATCACTGAGGGTCCTGTGGGCCACAGTGAAGAGGCTAGACTCTGTGCTGGACTATTTAAGAAGTGGCTGGAAACCAGATGTGGTGGCGCATGCCTGTAATCCCAGCACTTACGAGGCTGAGGCAGGAGGACTGTTGCAAGTTCGAGATCAACCTGGGCTACAAAGTGAGCTCAAGTCCAGCCTGAACTGCATAGCAAGACCCTGTCTCAAAAAAAAAAAAAAAAAAAAAAAGTGATTGGACAGATGGCAAAGCTTGGAAAAGGATGTCTTAGTCTGTTTTCTGCTGCTATTACAAAAGACTTGAGACTCAATAATTTATTAGGAATAAAGGTTTATTTGGGCTCATGGTTGTGGAGGCTGGGAAGTCTAAGAGCATGGCACCAGCATCTTCATAGCTTCAGGTAAGATCCTCATGCCTCTTAAGACTCATAACAGAAAGTGGAGTTGGGGGTGTGCAGAGGCCAGAAAAGGGGGATCCATTCTCATGAGAAAGGCATTCATTCATTCATTCATTCAGCTCATGTCTGCTTCCATGAGCCAGACACCTCCCATAGGCCATACCTCCCAACTCTGTGGCACTGAGGAGTTAAGTTCCAACACATGGAATTCTAGTGGCTGCCACCATCATCCCGGCCTGAAGAGACAGAAGGGAGATGTGGCAGAACACTGGGGACAGAAGCTACAGGAATGAATGGGATCAGCTAGCGAAGAGAGGAGGGCTTGAGCCCAAGCATTGAGTGCTGGGGCAGCAGCCAGAGCAGTGGTAAGAAATCCATGGGGAGGGCTCTAGCCAGGCAGGGGTCATGGCCAAAAGCCACTTTTGCCTCCTTAGCTGATTGCTTTGGGGGAAGGAAGAGCCGACTAGGCCTGAGTCTTCCATGTGACTCTGTATGCTTTGAGGCCTCTGCCAGGTCACTTGGCTTCTCTGATCCTTAGAATTTAGGTGCAGAAAAGAGGGATGGTGCTACAACAACCCACTTCCTGCATTAGCAGGAGAGCCGAGGCTGTGGGTGCTGGTAAATGTTTAACCACTGGCTTCCTGGGGAGGGGAATCTGACTTGTTGATGCCCATGATGTAATTGCTCCTGACATGGCCTTTTTCAAGCCATTCACATGAAGCCCCAGAGCTGGGACGTGATGCCAATGGTACACTGTAATGTGCGATCCCCAGCAGGCATAGTACAGCAGGGCCCCCTTTCTCAAGGGGATACTTTCAAATTGCAGATGGTGTCAAACCTGACACATACTATGTTCTTTCCTGTGCATACATACCTGTGATCAAGTTTAATTTATAAATTAGGGCGTAGTAAGAGATTAATAACAATGACTATAATAACAAGAATGGACTAAAACAATGATAACAATATACATACTGTGATAAAAGTTATTTAAAACTATGAATTGGCTTGGGATGTAGCTCAGAAACAAAACAACCCCCCCACAAACAAAAACAAAAACTCACCACCACCATATGTCTTTAGAACCAGGCACGGTAGTACATGCGTGTCATCCAGCACTCTGGAAGGCTGAGGCAGGAGAATCACAAGTTCCAGTCCAGCCTGGCCAACTTAGAGACATAGCAAGGCTCTATCTCCAAAATAAATAAATTAAAAAAAAAAAAAACAGGATTGGAGATACAGCTTAGTGTGAGTGTTCAGTCTCTTGTGTCACCACCAACAATGAAAAAAAAACAAAGAATTGTTTATTTTTGAAATTTTCTGTTTAATATTTTTGGACCATGGTTGAATGGGCAACTAAAACTGTGGCCATTGGGGGGGGGTCTGCTATGGATATAAATAGCTTCAAAAGTATAGATGGAATAAAGTGTACCAAGGTAATTAGGAAGCAACAGTTGAGTATTTACTATGCTTTTACTGTGATATACAGACATTCCTTGTTTCGTGACTTGCTTGTTTAATGACTGTTTGGACTTAATGACTCACTGCTCAGATTTAGGACCTATTTTGTGTGTGTGCATGTGTGCGTGTGTGTATGGTTCTGTACATCTTGTTTATAGATCCTCAGTGTCTTTTTTTGTACAGCACACCTTGTTTATACAATACTGTAATTTTTGCTCATTGTACTGTGCAGTACAGTACTATAGTTTTATGTGCTGTAGTTTTATTTGTGTAACTCTCACGGTACTCCATGTAAGAGTTATGCAAGAGTTATGCAAATAAAAGCAAAGTCATCAAGCTGTAGTTTCATTTGACCACTTCTACCATTTCTTTGTACAATTCCTTATTTAAAGATCAATTCACTTAACAATTTAGGGACAGGAATATAACTTGGTTGTTAAATGAGGACTGTCTCTTTAAATCAAAGAGACAATGATATAATCATTATCATGATATTATCATGATATAAACTCTTTATATCATTTCTTTTTTTAACATTTAATTTTTAATAATGGCAGTGTTTGACAACCAACTCACAAAATTCCCGGCAAGCTAACAATTGGCTCAGGCCTCTTCCAGTCTGTCCACATACCACGCATGGCCCACAGGCAGCAAGATGTACAAGTAGATCAAAGACACCCTGGTGTACAACTGTATTCTCAGCTACTAGAGAGGCTGAGGCAGGAGGGTTGCAGGTTTAAGGCCAGCCTGGGCAACTATACCAAACACCAATAAATGAAAGGAAGAGAGCTTTATTTTGGTTCATGCTATTTAGAGGTTTCAGCCCACAGCCAGTTGGCTCCAGGCCAGAAGCAGCATGCGGGAAGGGCCTGCTGTGGAGGAAAGCTGCTCAGGACGTGTCTACCAGGAAGTAGATGGCAAAGGGAGGAGCCAGGGAGGGAGATAGACCCTTCCAGGTCACAGCCCCAGTGAGCCATCTCTTCTGACTGGGCCCTGCCTCCTACCATCACATGGAGCTATAGAGTCCCCACAGTCCACTCACCTTTGAAGAGCCCTGCCTACCGATATTTATAGCAGCACAACTCATAATAGCTAAATCTTGGAAGAGGCATATTGTCCATCAAAGGATCGATGAATAAAGAAAATGCAATATTTATACTCGAGGACTACTGCCAGAAAGAAGCATAAACTAAAGGCATCGGTAGGAAAATGGATGCACCTTGAGAACATAATGTCAAGTTAAATAAATCAGACACACAAGTTTAAATATTGCATGGCTTCTCTTGTGTAAGAAACCCCAAATATAAAGAGCAAAATAAAAGGTAGATAATAGAAAGTAGAGAGGTAGATCTTTTCCAAATGGGATGGGGACCTAGAGATGGGGGGAAGAGGGAAAAAAGGGGAGGGAGGAAGGGGAAAGGGATTAGAAAAGAATTTAAAGTATTATGTGCGTGTTCCAACGCTCCATGAGGGATGTGACCATTATGTACCACAAATGTACTAATAAACAGTAAAAATTGGGGGAAAAACCCTGCCTATGAGTGCATGAGACTGTGTGTGTGTGTGGATGCACCTAGATATAAACCCTAACAGCAACTTAGCAAGGCTCTGTCTGCAAATGAAAAGGGTTGGGGATATAGCTCAGTGGTAGAGCACTTGGCTGGGATGTATAGAAGACCTCTGCCCTAGGGGGCCTCTTGGCCTTTCATCAGTCACTAAGGGACAGAGGAAGTGGGGCCAGGATCCTGCCATCCCCTAGGCAGCCACAGGTTTGGAGGACAATGCGTACTTGTCACCCTTCTGCTCCAGTCTGAATCCAGATGACCCATGCAGGCTCTGTACACCCAGGACTACTGAAGGCCGCGTGCTGTGGGCAGCATTCCTCCAGCCAGGCCTTAGATCGTGAGAGCCAAAGTCCTGAGTGAATGAAGCTCTCAGTTCATTCACTCTTGGTTACTTTTCTCTCATTGCTGAGACAAAATACCTGATGCCCAAATTTAAAGAAGGAAAGGTCTATTTAGCTCATAGTTTGTGGAGCTTTCAGTCCATACTTGGCTGGCTCCAAGGCAGGATGGCACATGGCAGAGGGCAACAGTTCATGGTCGAGGAAGACAGGAAAAGTAGCAAGAGAAAAAAAAAAAAACAAAAAAAGGGAGGGGCAGCAGAGAGCAAGACTCCTTCCCCCCCCTATATTGTATGCAGGCTACCCACCCTAGGGCAGGTGTAGCACTCACACCCGTAATCCCAGCATTGGACCATGAATCAATTAAAACTCTAGAATCCTGCCTCATGACCAAATTGAGGCTTTGAGGAGACAACTGTGCACAAACCATAACACTCTTTTTTTTGGTTTTGTTTTGGTTTTTTGGGGTTTTTTTTGTTTTTCTTCTGGTACCAGGAATCGAACTCATGACCTTGCA